TAGAAGGGCGCTTCCTAAAATACACACCTTATTGTGAACACAGTATATATAAAAGGAAAACTATCTCAATTTGTATATTGATGACATGTTAAAATGTAGTATTTTGGATATATTAGGATAAGTATATTATTAAAAAAAAACAAATAGAACTAAATAACACCTCCTGGAGGTGAGCATATTCTGCAAGGTACTCATTGTGTTAGGCCCAATTAAGAGGCAGTGATAGGGAATTCTCCAGATCTCCTTTACTAACATACCCCATCCTTGGAGAGATTCCAAGACAATATATATAAAGGATGGGCTAATAAACTATTCTAAAGCTTTCTTATTATCAAGTAAGACCAGTAAACAACCTACTTACACCATGGTGGCTTATCCGTCTTTACAAATGCCTCAACTATCAGAGTCAATATAAAAAAAACACAAAATTCCTTACATTGTCCATTATGTTATTCAATACAATTACTTAAGGGTCCCACCCATAAAATCTTAGAATTATGTGCCTGTTAGTTTCTAAAGAGTTTTATGAAAATAAAAACTACATAATCCATTACATATGTCTTTATCCCTTTGGCTACCAAAAAAACAAGATATATAAAGTAACGCTAAACTTCAGTAATCGTTTTATATAAAAATCTTGGCACAATTGCTATAGTCCTTTGTTCTATAAGGCTTCTAATGTATCAGAACCTTTTGTATGTTGACTAGCATGAAACACTTCAAATCCTTTCTTGAAAGCAGGTAAGGTATTAATTATAAAATATCACTGCCAACTTAAGTATCAGAGAGCATTTGCTAACTACATATCTTTAATAGAGGTGATTCCTTTATATTCCAACATAAGGTTTGAAAAATAATTCTTAAAAAATCACCAGCTCACCACCCAACACAGTCACTAGTACCATTTTTTGTGTTATTACATCACCTGATGATAATCAATCAATGGTTCAGCCATTTCCCAAAGCCAAACTTAAGACTAAAACATCCCCTCAAGCACAGAAGGATGTTATGACCAGGAATGCATCTAATAACTTGAAAAAGTTATTGAAGTATATTCAAAATAAAGTGGTGCAAGTAAACTAGGACACTGCCTTGTTTTACTGTGCATAATTCTAATTTCACTAATCAAAACCGATCTCTCCCTCCGTAAGTATTATAAGGTACGGACTTTCACAAAGCCTTAAAAAGTCCATGAACTACACTCGGATTATACAGATTGGGCAATAAACAGTTCAATGAATCCTCAAAAACTCTTAGTAATATTCTTATGGATTCCTCTAAGCCTAAAAGATATGTTAGACAGTGATTGATGGTACAACAGTTGTGCCTAAAACCTGTTTGCTCTTAACATAATCAAGTGGACAGACTTTGTTTAGCAATTTAAAAAACACAGACCTTGTGCTCTCCCTCTAGCTAACGAGGTGTTCTCCAAATGGCTTTGTCCATCCAATGAAAAAACTAGCTTTCCTTTACCCTTCCTTTAGCATCAGGCATAAGTTTATCCAATGAACACGGACAGTTAAGAAACACAAAAAGTAAAGTGAGTCTAAAAGGCAAGGGGTATTCTTAAGAAAATCTCAAGAACTTAGATAGGAATGTTGGCATGTGCAAAATATATGTGATTAACTAACCAAAAGATATAGGTCTTAGGAAAATCCTAGGCAACCAAAATTAATTTTCCCCCTCTCAGCCTATACAGAGCAACCAAATAAACCAAAGTTTGAAGAGAATCAAGTCAAAAATTTTAGTATATTCAAGTTTTAAAAACCAGATGAGCTACTGAATCAGCAAAAAAATTTAAAGAACAATAATACCCAGAGTTTTGCAAATTAACCTCCTTCTTTTATAAAATGGAGATAGTAAGAGTAACCCCTCAGAGCAGTGTTGCAAGGATTAAATATATGCATATAAAGTGCTTAGCATCTGAACCAACACATCTTAATCATACACTATACATTATTATTAATATTGTTATTACTGATGGTGAGAGTGGAAATTGGTTCAACTTTTCTGGAGGACAATTTGGCAATAGGTATTCAAAAGCCTAAAAATGGTACATACCCTCCAACCAGTAATTCCCTTTCTAGGGATTTATCCTAATATTCAGAAATAGGGAGCATTTGAGATCTTGCTCCCGGACATATGTCATCGGTTTGACCCAAGTAAACTCTTATAAAATTCTCTGAAAAAGAAGGAAAAAAAATCAGAAATGGTCAAAGATTTATGTTCAGGGTTTTCATATTAAATGCATTAGATCAAAAATTGGAAATATCTAGTAATAAGGACTTGGTTATCTAAGATTACAGTATAATCATAAGATAAACTATACTATTTAAAAGCTGTTTAAAACCAAGTAGACTAAATATTAAGAAGAGAAACTAGTCAAAATATATTGCTAAATGAAGAAAGCTATAAACAACATGTCTTACATTTTTGAAAAAGTATATAAGCACACACAGAAACAACTGGACGGTCATACATCAAAATGTGAACTTTGTCTGGGGTGGTGAAATTTTGGGGGATGTTTTTTTTTCCCCTTGACCTCTTCTATACTTTCCATATTTTCTGCAATACCATCACCACCCTATCTTACCAACATTTCTGCATTTATTGTATTGGACAAGGCTCTAAGAACCTCAGTCCTATCTCAGTCCTATCCTAATCCTCACAATAACTCTAGAGGTAGATACTTTACAGATGAGATTAATGAGGCAAAGAAAGACTGAGGATTCAAATCTAGGTTGAGTCCAGAGCCTGTTTTTAACCCCTCTTAACTATTTGTGTGTGTGAGATACAGCACCTATATGTGTTTGTTTCCTAAATAACTGGACAGCAAAGGATGATCCTGACTTCTAAAAAAATGCCAGTCTGCTCAGGAGAGCATCAACCTGAGATTCTGCCAAATTGTAGCAAATAGCAAAACTGTCTCATTTGAGGATGGGCTCTGCAGTTCCCCATCTGATGAACTACAGCACCCATGGAGCTGCCCTGTCCATGACCTTTTAGATCCCAAGAGTCATACCAGGCAGCAGTTACCATTTCTGCAGTGCAGAAATGCCCAAGGTTGGTGGGGGGAAGCTTCATAGGCAACATATTCCATTATGTTCACTGAGGATTTCAGAACATCTAAGGAACCAAAAAGCTAATTGATTAAGCCAGAAACAAGGAAACCTAACCAGTCAGGAATTTTCCACATTGGGCTTAATCTTATCCAATGTTTCCAATCATGTTACTGTCTAGTTGTTTAAAAATGAAATCAGCCTAATATCTCAGAAGTAAATTGGGATTGCTGATGAATTCAGATAAATCAATCAGTAGAAAACTAGGTTGTTCTCTCCCTCCCCTCTTCCAATATAGCCTCGGGTTCTGATGTTTTATTATGCAGAAGGTGATGAGTTAACATGAGGAAAAATAAAGTATTTGGATTTTTCTAGAAGCACAGGAAAAGGATTTAATAACCACAGTTCTCTAAGGGGCTCAAGAACAAAATACCCCTCTAAATGAAAATCAGTCATGTCTCCTAGCTATATTGTCACTTGCAAAGTATGGTCCTGTTTTGTCTTCTTTATTACAGCCTATAAATCATAATGGTGCGGTCGAAGCTAAAAAACGGTGGCTTGGCTAGCCTCTTTTGACTAAGGTATTGCCTGGTTACGGATGGCATCAGTGTTTGCACTGTCATTTGCATCACAACCAATGGCACAATAATCGAGCATTCAGAAGGAAATTGCCCACAACAGATGAGTGCTTTTATCAGCGGGGTCTAAAAATTATAATGGGAGTTACACTTTGGTAATAAATCTAAAGAAAGAAAAATAGAAATAAAGGCACTTAGGAAAACATGTTCAAAGCAATCTTATTTAACTGATCATTAGGTCTGGTGTAAACTTTCCCATTAAGAGATGACTGTAAGATTGCGGATACTGCTGATTTGATCAACAGGGTCACAACAAAACACAAGGTAGGCCTATCAGAGCCAGAAGATTCTACATTTAGTTGGGAGGGGTACTGAAAGGTTCAGATAACCAAGTTATTTCTAAGATGGCCTGAAGGTGCAGGAGATGGGTGGAAGTGGGGGGAGGGAGCAAGTTTACTTAGCAAAGTAATGAAAAAAATTCGAGTTGCAACACACTATGTGATCCAGGTCTTCCCTCTATCATCTTTCCTGAAATATCTTAACATTCAAAATCGTTTCCTAAATTTCCCACCCAGCGCCAAGAGAAGTAGACAAGTTCAGGATAGACTTTGCTAAAAAATATGCTTTTATCAGTAGCTGCATGGGGGAAGGTCAAGGATTCCAGGATTAAGGGTTCCTAAGATTTTACCGATGGCTTAAGCTGAGATGCCGGCAATCAGGATGCTGAGTTAATGCATCAGTACCTGATCACCTAGATTTAACAAAAAAAAGTATGACGCTGAGTCTAGGATTCTAAAGATGTGAAAAGCCAACCCTTGCAAATCTAAGGACGTGCTCAGTAATACTTTTGGCGCCCTCAGTACATGTTAATTTCCCTCAACACTAAATTCAACACAATTAAAAATGAAAAGCTGCTTCTTAGATTCTAGAAGAAACATCATGAGGGCTCAGTGCGCAGTACGTTCTCCCACGCTGGTCCAAGAGCTGAAGCGGCACCTGTCCAGCCTGGGTGGCTCAACAGTGAAGCGACAAAGCCACGTGTCCCCACAGCCGAGGCTAAAGCGTCGCTCCCCTCCTGCCGCTCTTAGACAGCCACTATCCCTAGAATGGATCCTCTAACCCTTGCTTTCAAACCCAGCAGCTTCTCCTCATGCTCCATCTTGACTCCAACCCATAGCACGGTGGGAACCAATGTGACCCTCCCGCGAGAGGTAAAATAACGGAAAGAGCCCATAGAGCACGCTCGCCACCCGGTCCCTCAGAACTCACGCGGGCGGCCCCTTCCCTCTTCCCTCTGTCTCCTAAGCGTCGCCCCCGCCGCCCCGGCAGGTGAGGCCGGTTGGGGTCCCAGCTTCGCCCTTACCAGGTCTCCTGGTTGCTGAATTTCTTAGTCACCACCTTGCCTAGTTCCAGGCCCAGGCGGTCAGCAATTTTCTGGGATAAGTCCTGGTGGGAGCTGCCGCTGAAGATTTTGATATTCGGCATCTTTGCCAACTACCCTAATCGCCCTTTGCTCAGCTATCACTGCTGCTGCCGAGACCCAAACCGAAGTCGGCCCAGAGACTCAGTATTAACCACTTCGCGTTGCTATTCCGCCATCTTACATTCCCGCCCGGCGCGCGGCTCTAAATTGCTCAGCGCCAAGGAGGCGGGGCCAGCAAGGAAGTCCACACCCCGCTGCCCCGATTAGCTGAGCGGCAGCGAAGGGCAGGTCCTCGCTGTAGCCCCGCCCGCCTTCAGCTCTCTCTGGTATTGGCTGGAAGCCATGAAGCGGGCGAGGCTAATAGCCCCGCCGCCTGTAGCTGTGTAGTCTAGGAGAGCTCGCTCGCTAAAGAGCGCGTAGACGATCCGCGCTTGACTACGGGTGGGGGGATGCTGATGACGTGAACGGCCAGATTGCTCCGCAAGCGGGAAGTCAAAGTTTTTTTTTTTTTTTTTTTTTTTGCCTTCAGCACCAGAAACTAAGTCTAGCTCTGGTTTACAGTTTCTTTTAAGAAAATCTGTTTATCAGGATGGCAGCCACAGTTCACCAGAATGAAGGGGAGATTAGTGAACATGAGTTTGCCTGTTTCTGAACATGAATGATTTTTATCTCTGTATAAAGACAGGGCCGAATTAAAGCAGGTTTTCATCACAGAGAGACACTCATACATAGCACAGACGCAACCAAAGGTTTGTTTGCCCTTTGCAACTGGATAGTGTCGACTGCCTGGATGGCAAATCCCAAGGGGAAAATGACGGCACACTACCTGAATCATCCAGACACTGCAAGAGAAAGCTGTGTTTTATTTCTGACGCTGGGACCAAGTATGTTCAAACAAGTGACGGAGTATGGATTTTCCAAAGTATCTGGGCAATAAAGGTATTTATCTAACCCTTGGAAAGGAAGGAAAATCTAGTATACTTAAGGGACTTTATATAAAGAGCCCCGAATGAATCAGAAAACCTGGTTTTTAGTCCTATCTGCCTCATGTGAGCCTTAGCATCATCTGCATATTGCTAATGTGGCCATTTACACTGTGCCTTATTATTTTTGTGATGATACTTGCTAATTGGACCAAAGAGAGCTTTTATTTTATACCACATTTTCATTATGTATATTCCAACCATGAGTTAGAAGAGAAAAATACAATTTTAAAATCAAAAATCATACAAGTTTAGAATCATACAATTTTAGTTATGAGAACGATAGTGCTCATAATTACAAACTTTAAAAAACAGAAGGGACTTCAGAAATCATCTGGTCTACCAGCTGCATTTTACATATGGTGAAACTGAGACCCAGAAATGTGAAGGGATTTGTCCAAGTGGCAAAGGCGGAAAGTACTCAAAGCGGCATCCTATACTTCTCTTCCTGCCATTTTCAATGGTGTCAGTGGAGGACCTTTCTTTTTGAACTTTTGTCATACTTTTACGACTTCAGAAATTAATGTAAGCCCAGATGTATAGGAATAGTTGGAGAAGTAAGTAAAAACTGAAAGGCAGAATATTAGTAGTTCTCCATCACAGTTCATTCGTCGAATATTTACTTAGTGCTTTATTCCATACAAGGCAGTGAGCTAGGCATGGAGGAGACTATAAAGTATTTTTCCCCAAGGAATTTGTTTCAGCAAATATTTACTGCATACCTTTTTTGTGGCAGGCCCTATTCTGAGCACTATGAATACAGCAGTAAAAAAACAAAAACAAAACAAAAAACAAAAAACAAAAACACAAACAAAAAAAAAGCAAAAAAACCCCTGCTCTCGTGGAGTTTACATTCTCAAACAACAAACATATAAAAAAAGAAAATATATAATATGTCAAATGGTGATAAGTGCTGTGGAGAAAAATCAGGCAAGATAGTAGGATAAGGTACCACGGTGGTGATGGAGGGGAGGGCAGTATAATTTTAAGTAGGGTAGTCAGAGAAGGCCTATCTGGGAAGGTAACATTTGAGCAAAGACCTGAAGAAGATAAAGGAAAGAGTTAGTATATTATCTAATTAGATTATCTAATAATCAACTCATTAGATTCAAACTAAACATCCCCTTAGGGCAAACACTAGGTAATCCGATCAACAAATTCCATGAATGTAAATGTGTATACAAATGATGCTGTTCTTTTTTTTCTCTCAGAAAGGTATCTGATACTAGGGTATAAGTGAGATGGGTGAGGGGTTTACTCTTTAGGGGTAGGTGGGCCTTACGCACTATCTATGGTAAGGTAGTCCCTGAGGGGAAAGTTTAAAGGAGATTTGAATGAAAATAATTTAGAAAAAAATGTCCTCAGACCTTTAAGGGTGCTTGAATGTGGACAAATTAGACCATCAAAAAAGGGACAATGTGTATGGGGCAGGCATAAGGATCCTAAGAGGTGAGGATTTGAAAGGAGTGTGGTTGAGTTATACGTAAATGGTGGAGGGTTCTTAAGTCTGATATAATTCAAAAGAAATATGCTGCGATCCTTCTATATGCCAGGGCCTCCGGAGTGTGGGGAGGGTGGCCACACAGGGAATGAATAGTACACAATCCTTTCCCCCTAGCAGGCAATAAAGATCCTTACAGAAATAAGGTTAAGTATGGGGGTATGAGAAATGCAATCAAATTGAGAGGATTTTGGAAGGATACTTCAGGAAACTGGCCTAGTAAAACCAAGGACTGCAACCTGGGGATGGAGAGCTAAGAGAATAATTTTAACAAAGGCCCAGAGCAGATGAATGTGGGAGGAGGTGAGTTGAGAGAAGGTATGTTGAGAGCTCAGATAAGACAGGCAACTGAAAGCCTATGAAGGTCAATTTTATGTGTCCACTTAGCTAGGCTGTAGTCCCAGTTATTGAATCAAACACTAATAGACGTTGCTGTGAAGGTATTTTGTAGATGTGATTCACGTTCATAATGGTTGTCTTTATGTAAAGGAGATTTTCCTACACAGTTTGGGTCGGTTTGATTTAATAGGTTGGAAAGTCTTAGGAGCTGAACTTGAGTTTCATTGGAAAAAAAAAAAAAGAAATTCCATTTGTGTAATGCAATTTCAGTTGCTGCCTGATAATTCCAGCCTACCCTTCCTGATGGCCTGTCGCATGGATTTCAGACTTGCCTAGACAAACCCCCACAATGGTGTAAGCCAAGTCCTTACAATAAATCTTTTAATATACATCTTCTACTGGGGCTGTTTCTCTGGTTGACCTTGACTCACACAAAACCAGACTATGGAGGGCTTTGAATGCCAGTTTCAGGGTGCTGAGGATAAAGGCAGGAGTGCTGATGAGGGGAAATCTAGTCCCTAAACTGGAAAAGGAGTGGGAAATTATTTTGCACAAATTATTTTGTTCTAGAAAAGGCTGAAGAATGCCCTCTTGCCCACATTTCATATTTCCAACTAACTCCAAAGCTCAGGGCCATGGGGAGAATTGTGTCAACAGTCTCCCCATTGGAAGGGCTCCCTCAATCCCCCTGCCTCATAGGGTAGGTCTGGTTTTGTCTCCCTCTGAGATCCCAGACATTATAGAAGATTCTAAATTCACCCATTTGTTCAGTCATTTCTTCTGTAGGCATTTCTTGGGCGGCAATTATGGGCAAAGTACTGCGCTCAGCCTTCGGATTACAGAATAAAACAGGGCCCTTTTCCTCAAAAAGCTTTGTAGACATGTAAACGACTACTGTAACAACAGAGAGAAAGAAGTCTTGGTTCTCCCCTCCCACTCCTTGCAGGACTAGAAAGAAGTAGTTGCAGCAGAATCTCCCTTTGCTGGGCCTGCCACTTCAATTCCAGTGCACTGGGCTTCTAATATTTCACTTTGACCAGCTGGGTCTCCCTGTCATCTTCAAGCAACCTTTCTTGCTCCTTCTGGATATTAGCATTTCTTTCAAGATATTTTCTCTTTTCCATCTCCTGCCAATGTTCCAATTTTTTCCCTTTTCATGCTTGTGTGATTTGTCCTTGTTCATATACCCACCCTCACTTTTTCAGCCAACAGGCGTTCAATGCCAAAATGATGGCCAGTGGGTATCACACCTTTATAAGCACACCAGAGGGTTTTCAAAGGCCACAAAGGGCATTACGTCTGTACACTGCCCAATGTGCTGCAGCCTGCACTGAGCTCACCAGCTCAGGAGTCAGCATTTCCATTGGGCCCTGAACTCCCGAACTCATATTCTCTGTCTTCAACAGGCATGCAAGCTCTTTGAAGGTAGAAACCATGCATCTCCCGCAGTCCCTAGCATAGACTCAGCCTTGGGGTGGATGCATTTTAAACACTTAAGGATGTGAATTGAAAATCTGGATTGACACCGTAGATAAATTAGGAGGTAACTCAGTGGCTTTTCAAAAAAGATTCAATGTAGGATTCCTTTGAAAGAGCAAAGGACACATACGTAAGCCCTGGTTTTATTAACGTAACTCCATCTTAAATGTGTCCTGTTCCAGAAGATTTACCTCATAAAGCAAAGTTTGCTTATTTTACCTTAGGTAGGATTTAGCTGGACCCTTTGGATACGTTTCACTGTCCTAGGGTTCCCATTAATTGGTTTCTTGTGAATGAAGGCTTTATTGTACAAGGTTGGTATTCCAGGGGGCTAGAAATCAGCTAGAGATTTAAGAGATGGGGGATTTCAGCCCCCCCTTGACAGAAGGGATTTGATGAAAACGGCAGGGCCAAGCGGTCTCTGTGGTTTGTTGAGGTGTTTAACTTTTATGAACTGGGGTGTTCTCCCAGTTTAATTATTGACTGGAGAATATTTGGGTGATGCTAGAAGTACTTGCCTTTGTTTAAAAAAAAATCCTTAAATGAAAGAATGTGTGCTTTAAAAAAGCTAATAGGCCCTCTCGTTTAACACACTCATTTTATGTGGCAAGAAACCGATACCCAGAGAGGGGAAGTGAATGCCCAAGGTCACACAGCTAGTTCTTGGAAGAGCTGCAAGTAGAAACAGTCTTCTGGCTCTGGCGTAGGGTCCCTGCTTGCAGCTCTGTTACAGAGCCAAGCTACTGTGGGCTCAGGGCTATAGAAACTGCAAGTGAAATCAGTCTCTTCCATTGTTCAGTGGAGGGAAAATGTGTCCATTTTCTACTTGGTTCTTTGAACTTTTTTCAGGTCTCTAGAGACATTGTGCATTCCTGTTGTGCCAGGTTAGGAAAGGGATAGAAATGCTTGTCCTTACTCTCACTTTCCTACCAATTCCTCTGTCCTCGGTGGCCAAGAGTCCT